ATGCCATAAATCGTGAGGAAGAGGAATGTCAGGTCCTTTGAATATTTTTGCCAATACACTGTCCCCCACGAGCTGCATGAGCGAGTGGAGGTGCTTAGCGGATGTTCGGCGCTATGTAGACTCAGGATGATAGTGTCTTCTTTGATGTCGAGGACTATGTGGATTGCGAAGAGGTCAATGAAGAGCATGCGGTGATCTAGGAGGGACGTTTGAGAGTGAAAGTATTGATGTAATCAATACACATACCACTTGTCAAGAAAGGAGCCTGGATATCGATCGGGGTACCTGCCGATGGTAAATTGGATGACTGGCGGATGATGGGCTACTCACTGGTCATGGAGTCCCATGTTTCAGGGTCAATCGGCGACGGGCAAGTGCATGGTGATCGCGATTTCTGCTGCGGTCGTAAAAATGGACAGGTAACAGTGAGTTGGTCTAAACCTTCCATTTTGGGTGTCCGAGATGGAAGGCTTAGACTAACGATCTCCTTCTCCGTGACGAGGCACTTCCTGATATCGTGCGGGTATAGCAAGTACAGACCTCCTTCATCTTAGCGCAGTAGGAGATCTTGAACGTGGCGGAGGCTCAGTGTTTCTTCGAGCGCGTGCCGCACGAATAGATAACAAACGCTGGCAGCAGTTTTCACGAACACGGCGACCCTCTTGATGATGCGCCCTCTGACAGTAACTTTTCGAGAGAGAGTGCAATCGAAGGTGTGCACTTTGGTCCTTCAGGAACTTTGAAAGCCTTTGGACAGTAAAATTGATCAACCTGCAGCCTGGCAGACGCGTCAGAAACTACATTGAGTCTGAAAACTGACCTATCGGACTTTCAATGCGTCAACAAATTTCAAAGGCCGTGACCGGTTTCATTCCCGCCTGCACTGGGATGACGCAAACTGCATCAGAAATTTCAACGATTTCCTTCTAGGGGAGGCACATGCGCTACCAAATTGAATTTTTTCGAGCGCCTGTAGACTCGGAGGTGATCGATTGATCGGCCATCTATCATCAGCAGTACTAGTCACGGTGGCACACTTAGAAGCGCCAAAACTTTAAAAGCTGCAGGAACGAGTTTACATCAAGGGAGGAAGAGAAAGTGCAAGCGGTAAGTGCCAAATGTTCACGTGACCATAATGGCTGGTTTTCAGATGTTCTTTCGATGCCACGAGGGTGCAAGCGCTTATTTGCTGACTAACGAAGTCTGACATGCGGCCTTTCCGATCTGACAGCGCCCAGTTCACGCCTCTGCAACATGGTGTTATGACATCACCGGTGCTACGATTGAGAAGGGGGTATGAAACTTCTACTAGCGCCTATGGATGCATGTTGAATTGTGACAGGGAAGGAGATAAGCAAGTAAATTCTTTCTTCCCAGCAACTTACCAGCTCCTTTTTCCTGATGTCCAGACGATGCACGATGTCCGCCTCCGACTTCTCCGAGTCCTACTAGCAACTCGTGTCAAGCATCCGGTCTCCGTCTCCCGGTGTGTACTGGCGTCTCATCGAAGTCCAAGTTGTGCAGGCATTCTGACCTGTCGAGTGACTCAAACTGGACGTCATCCAAAATAGACGCAACTCATCATCATTGTCGAACGAATTGCTTAAAATAAGTGAGTGGCACCTACCAGAACTAGCCTCATTCCCACAAAGATCGGCTTGATATTGTTGACTGAATTTTCCGCTAACCCTTTGAATCCTGTGCTGCCTTAAACAAGTTATATGTGTAGGTCCCGCAAGGTGGAACATGTCAAGTGGTTCGGGCGCATTCTCTGGGATTCCGCGGTGTATCTTGGCGAGGGAGTTTCGTGTTTGCCTTATCCTCTGTGGTACAGAGAACGAGAACCAGACGAACGACAGGTAGTCCATCGCAAAGCAAGGGAACTCACGCAACAACATAGCCTCGTCAATCCATGTCATATGCCATAGGTAGCAGAAGGACCACACTCGACAACCAAGTTCGTGCAAAGATCGACAAAACCCTAGTGCGGTTGAGCACAAGCATTGATGTCAATGCAAAGGGAGGATTTTTGAATGGTTATTCTTCATCTTGGACTACGGCGGGCGTCCAGAAAAGACAATCATTGGTATGAAAATTTGTCTACTGCTAGTTATTGAATGCAAACTGACCCGAAGCTCATTTCCTAACGAAAGCGTGTCACTTGAAACGATGAGGGATGTGAAGGATTGTCTTCCCTGACAGGTTCTGGAAGGCACCCCACTACCAAGCAGAAACAGCAAAGTAAGCGAATTAGCCGGATTGACAGCAAATGACAGACCACAATCTGAAAGCCGTACGCGACGGTCAGCATCAATTGACACGTTAGACTGTCATTTCCCGACATTCATACTCGAGGAACTGAAGCGCAGATACTGTACCCCGGTTAGATCCCCGTGGATGACGGATGTAGTGTGCACATTATTCCAAGTGAGAATTGAAGGGTGCAGTAGCAAAAAAGAACTCGCAATAACAAAGACCGCCGGCAACCGGCAATGTCCCGAGGATGCGGCGACATAGCTTTGACCACATTACCCCCCTCTCTGCCTGAAGAAAGTTCCCTTACCAGACCCAATCTTCCACGTCAGATTTGCTGATGTAGATGACATTGCTATGTTCCTACTAACATGACACGAGGTATGTAGATCAGAAAATGCGGGGAATTGGTGCCGCATTGCAGCTAATCTATCTTGCTAATCAGGTGCCTGAGGCAATCCACACGATCTGGGAATCTTCGAATGACATTGGTTTTCAAAATCTGGATGAGGATGTGCGTACTCCATTTCTATGCCCTCATGTCCCAGCGGATTTCAGGTGGGTCTATTTCGTTCTTAATGAACAGAAACATAGATGAGAATATTGCGGAGATGACTACGATAGATGTCAATTAATTCCTGGGCATTTGACGTCGCTTGCCAATGCACAGCAGGGCGCATCATGTTTGATGCGATGGCCTATCTTCTAAACACCCTACCTATGAGCATAAAGGTCAGGTTCTTCTACTGCAACTGCAAGTTAGATTGAGTGTAACAGTGATATCCCCTAGGCGGACCAAATAGAAGGGAGAGACAACGAAGATCCTCTTGATAACCGGCGGAGTCAGGAAGATGTGGCGACAATGGCCTTGTCCGTGACACCCTTACGGGCCTTACCCCCTCAGGAAAGCCCGCTTACCCGACGCAGTCTTCCACGTCAGGTTCGCTCCCAAGACAAGATGCCAACGTGCCATGTTCCTGCCAAGGTGACACAACGAACATCCGAAAAGGCGCACAATTATTGGCGACTCCAAAAGGGGGGACATATTGGATCTGCCTCCAAACCCCATTTCTCTTCTGCTGGCCTGAAATCCGTCCCTTGGTTCCAATAATGAATACTGGCGGAAAACAGCACACTCATGGTCTCGCCTGCAACAGCAACTCTGTTTCTCCCCTCATAAGCTACGACATGCCAGGAATTACTAACACAGACCTTAGTATTTCGACTTTCAAGATGTAAAATACATTTCAAAACATCATTGGATGCGCCGGGGGCCACTACAGCCTGATCTATCTTGCCGATCAGGTGCGACAGATCCTCAAGCCATTCATTAAACCTGGGAATTGTCAAACGGCTTCAGTCCATTCAGAATACACGTGTAAGAACTTCGTGCGTACTGCGTACTCCATACCCTGAGGTCCCAGCGGAATTCAGGTACAGTTCTTGATGAGCAGAAGAAACGCATATGAGAATATCACGGAGATGGCCATGATAAATGACATTTGATCCTGAATCGTGCTACTGTGCGTATTTGCTATGATCCTCGTGTCACACAGCAGCGCGGTTGAGGGGAGATTGGCTGTCTTCTATCTAGATGCCTTACCTATAAGCGTTATTCTTATGCGAATACAGTAGATTGCAGATCGACAGAATTTTCCCTAGCAGACCAAATCGAAGGACAGCAGTCGTTCCTTGGACCTTCGCAGTGGCGCAGAGAAACGCCCACGCCAGGACCTGTTAGAGCGTGTTAGCTGCACACGAACAGCCACCTTGAGTGGATTCAAGCTTGAATGCGAACGCCTATTAAAATCGTAGTAAAGAGATACGACGTACAAGTAAAAGTAGAGAGTGGAGCAAGTTGCACGAGCACGACTGTTCGACTCGTTGAGCGTGCCAACGTTGCCCTGCGAGCCGCTGTGCTAGGGTTATTGTACCAAGTATAGGTGATAGGAATCATAGCACGAATACCAAATGGCTATAATAGCCGGGGAGGTCCGTGTCGTTGGTTTGCACATATGAATTTGTTCGAGTTAGGTATGATATGAATCTGATATACATGGATCCGTCCCGACTCCCCTTCCTCCTTCACCCTCTTTTTTCTACCTATCTACCCCTTCTTCCATCCTCTCTTCCTCTTCTCCCCATTCCTCATGTACGTCCGGTCGCTCTCCTTCCATCACCCTATCCTCAAAATCCTCTTCTTGCTCTGATATGGCGACCTTCCCCGACTCCTGGATGAAATTGGCTAGCGCTTCTATCCTGGACCTCCTTCAAGTCAATTCGATTCCCAATTCAGATCCAAATTTCGTACTATGTATGACTGGTTGCCGCGTCGTGTCTTTGTCTGATCTCCACTACATCCTGGATATCTAAAAATTTAACGACATGTACCAGTGATCCACATTCTCCAACATCATTGGCGAGCAGAACGATGCTGCACACTCACATCTCTCAAAACAAGAAAAAGGCCAGGTGTACCTGCCGTCGGCCGCGATGATCGGGCACCCTTTAGTCCGACACTGCTCTCATCGTCCAAGATGATCGGTATCATGATTATGGGCGCTTGTCATGTAAGCTCTAGCGAGCGTGGCGCACTCTTTCCGAACAGTTCGGACACATGTTCAAACCTGGGGAAAATGTTGGAATGTAATCGGCTTCTCGCCGGCGCCCACAGCCCGTCTCTCAATCTCTTATCTCACATCCTTTCCAGGCCATTCTACTCTTTGCCTACCTAGTCCTCGATTATCATGGCCAAGTACTATGACGAGATCCCGTTGAAACTCATCGAATGGATCTTGAAGCAGCAGATGTTTTGGGTGGCTACGGCTGCGCTACAGGGGGATGGGCATGTTAATGTCTCTCCTAAGGGCACTGCGAATTGTTTCCACGTCGAGAGTCCCTACCAGAGTTTGGTATGAGGACCTTACTGGCAGTGGTATGCTGCGTTTACATTCTGCAGGGTTTTACCCTAAGACTTCGCGTTCTGATCCATGTGGTTTGTAGGTATCGAGACGATTGCGCACATGCGCCAGCCCGGAACGGTCGTATCACGATTCTCTTCAACGCGTTTCGAAGGACCTCCAAGAATCCTCCGCTTGTGGGGAAAAGGTAAGCATGTTCTTTCCATTCATCCTGCATCCTACCCACCTCAAATTCCTGCATTCTTTCTCATTTTCACGACCCAAATTCCGTTCTCACTAACCTATCACAGGCACCGTATACGAATTCGGCACGCCAGAATACAATGACTTCATCCCGCCGTCCAACCGCAAAGCCGGCTCGCGTGCTATCATCGTCATCGATGTACACAAAGTCGGAACGGTACGTTCCTGTAATTCTTCTGCGCAATACCCAATCAAATTAAACTTCCCTTCTTCTCAAAATTTTAGTCCTGCGGCTTCGGTGTTCCATTGTACAAATACGAGACCCAGCGCACGATTCTCGAGCGTTGGTGCGACACCATGGAAAACTTTGATCGTGATGGCGAGCCTCAGCAAGCCCCTCCCCCATATGACTCCCAGGCGCTCGTCAAAGACCCGCGTGGGATCAAAGCGTGGTGGACTGCCGAGAATCTCGAGAGTTTTGACGGTTCTCCCAGCCTTACAACACGCACACGACACCAGCGTCCCGCCCATTAACACATTCGACAAAAAGGCGCCCCATCCTAGTCTTGGTCAGATTAGGGCTGCCGCCCGAAAAAAGGCTGGGGAGAGTAATGTTCACTCTAAGTCGAGTTCGAGGGAGACAATAAGACTAATGATGGCTTTTGGAATGGGGGTCGTGGTGACGGCGGGCTACATGAAGTTCGTTACTTCACTTGTTCCGGTGTCTTGGAAAGCGTGACCCCGAAATGGTTTCACATGTGGAGTGGTTTCCTAAAATAGTTAGGTACGAATAAAGGTTTATGTACGTCCTCAAACTTGTTTTAGTGCGAGTGTTCGCTTCGGGCAATGACGAGAGAAATCAAGAACTCTAGAAGCACTTTGCGAACTTGATTACACAAAAGCAAGCAAAAAAAAACATGGGTAATAGATTTCTCTGGGATGGCGAGCGAGTATGGAACATGAACAAAAGATAAGTTACTTCCCTCTCAACGAGTTGGGTTACTTCATCAAGAAATGCATATCAATGAAGAGTATAAATTTATGACTCGAGAAACAGACTTACCTCAACTGCTCGGAGGTCCGGGTAGTGACAGGCATCATTATCATCAATGATCATCGATGTCATCGATCACCGGTGTCACCGACAGCGGGCTCTAGATCTTATCCTACGCCGACCTGAGAAAACAACAAATATCTATCAGCACCGCATCAATGTTGTTAAGTAACGCTGAACATAGGCACGAAGGCAATGACTTCATGAACATGCAACTAGCTACTCACCCAATGATATTAGAAACTCCAAATACACCGGTGCCCGGACACTCGTCAGACCGTATCGATCATCCACGCACCTGGGAATAATGTATACGGGACCTGATCCCAAGATCTGGCGCCTGCGTCAGAATTGAAGCAAGGCACACAAGGTCAGCGGTTGGTGAGAACGGCAGACACCCATACATTTGCTACGTGTCTGAAATATTAATATATGCAGAGTTTCTCCTAGTTTTCCCCGTGCTTGAGAATACTTTGCAAGCAATGACTCAGATTGCCGGCTCAAGGGAAGAGCGGCGAGCCCAGGTGAATGTGACACTACACCATCTAAATCCTAAGCGAGGCATCATGCATCGTGCATCAGTATTCAGTTCCCGGGAACGTTCTACTTATATCGCGGTATGTACCTGGGTCCTGAGTTCCTGCAGGCTTGAATTTATGCCACAGGTTTGACTCGCCGAGGTCTGGATCAAAGGGGCCATATTTACGATACGAGGACGGCGGCGATTATGCAAAGTATGGATATTAACATGAAAAGAAGCAACATGGAATATTTACAAAGAGCACGTAAAGTTGCGGATGAATTCGGGCATGCACGCGTGCGTGCGTTTGCGGTGGCAGTGCATGTTCGTCCTGCCAGCTTGGAGTTCTAGTCGTCGGCCACTGCGTAGCAGTCTGCCAGTCCGCTGCAAGAAATTTTAGGCGCTCGTTAATAACCGGTAACCCATAACCCCCACCACGGGGACCACGTTGCGATAGTGGCGTGAAAAAACGCAGCTTGTAAGGAACGGGTGTCGAAAGCAGCAACCGGTAGCAACCAGGCAACTTCATGCGTGAGATTTGAATCTATTAGAATTAGGCGGAATGAACATGGAAGAGTTTCGAAGTCACGATTCTATGGTGGGTTGGGACCTGTTGGGCAAGGGCAAGGGAACAATAAGTTCAAATTCGCGATATGGTCAATTAACCAGGTACAGAGAATGTTCCTGCCGCGGCAGAATTAGAGATCCAGCGGCTCGTTCAAAGCTCGTCAATGGCCCAAAACCTATGCATCAGTTCAGCAATACTCCATTTAACTCCAACTATGAGACCTGTGAACGCCTGCCACGAGGAAGAATTTGCATTGCAAGCTATGTGGCGCGATATGTATGATCCTGGGACCGGGACCTTACGTGTAATACACGACCAAGTTTGATAGCAGTGTCAGGCACGGAGCTACTCATGGCATGTGAACTTTCAGGCTTCGTTCCTCCCGAAATCCTTTTAAACCGCTTAGACAAACGATGATGTGTTACAGAATAGCGTTTATATCCGCCCCCACACCTTAAAGCTCTCATGAAGCTCTCAGCACTCTTTTTTGTCGTGGCCTCTGCATGTGCCGTGTTAGCTGCCCCCACAGTAAGTCATACGATCAACAAATTTATCATTTCGTGCTAATCTTTTCTCGGTATAGTGGTGGGTAGTAGTTTGGAAGCGAGGAGCCCATGGAAGAGGCTCGTGAGGTATGTGATCTACAGCCGTCGCCGTCTGTGTCCGTTCATTTATCCCATCGACCCAAAGCCCGCTCCTCCAGACTGGAAGCGGATTGCCCAGGGGACATCTCCTGACTGGTAATCCCTCAATACCACAGTGATGAACGCGTCGGACCTTCTACACATCTATCTAATTCATCACTCGTCGTTTGTTTTTCTCGTATGCGATTCGTGAGTTCAACCATTGTCTTATTCGCGTCCCACTCACTTATCACTCACCTTGCCGTAATTTTTTTTAGTCTTGCACAGACTCATCTTAGAGTCTCTGTCTCTCTTTGCAATACTATTAATCGATCTGGGCATTTGCGTCATCTATAGAAAAGGGCGGGCTAATTGTGCGAGTAATCCGTGTACTGTTAGGCAGTGGGTCACAGGAACAGACGCTCTTGTGCTGCGGTTGTACAAGCCTACGAGGAGTCCTATTGAGCTGGTGAAACGGCGGTCTTTAGATAGCTTGTAACCTTCCCAGATATTGCATCAAAATTGATGCCGATTCCCAGGCACTCCCAGGCACTCCTAGGCACTCCTTTACCAGTTTAAATTTGCATGAGACTGATCACCGGCACCGGTCAGCCTATCAATTCAACTTCAACCACTTATGACGCGCAGCATCCTGTCATGTGGCAACTTGGGCTCATGGAGTATCGCCCGTGACTCGGATCTCCGATATCGTTGGAGTGCAAAATTAATCGGCGGTGCGAGGAGAATGCAAAATACAGTTAGACCTGCGACAAAGAGCTACGCCCCCTGGCAAGCCGCAAGACATGCATAGAACATGCACAGCTGCCACAAAACCAGTGACCGCGGCCCGTTGCCTCCTGTAGGAGCAACAAAGAGCTGCGCCCCCTGGCAAGACATGCGTAGAACATGCACAGCTGCCATAAAACCAATGATAGCTGTTATAGCTGACATCACATGTCAATCAATTGCCCAAGGCGCTGATTGCGGTACACGACAAAAATACGCGGTGGCTTGCCCCTGTACACATGCATATGTATCATGTGACAACATAAATATAGACAATGAATATTTACGTATCTTACGCTCTCTGCCGCCGTGCTGCTATCTGTTATCTTTGTCTCAATGCAGTCATGGACCAAACACTTACTCTGCTCATTTAAGCGCTGCGTTGGGCGCCGAGCCCGGGACCCTCGAGCGCTGGGACCACACGGACGGTAGCAAGAAAAAAAGGAACACCGTGCAATCGTTACTGTAACAAAACGCAATATCAGCGGTCACAAGTGCATCAAAAGTGAAACAGACCGAGATTATCGAGATACATTGCGATGGTGAGCATGTGTGCGTCCCTATGGCTATAAATGCAGTATAAAAATGGACTTACAGGGCGTGATAATGCAGGATACCGCTCGACACGTCACAGATCCCCAGCACATAGAGACGGTTCGTCACGAGTCCATGACTCTGGAAGTGAGTCCACACCCCCGTTTGCAGTTTTGCAATGCTCGTAACACCATTTAGCAAACCAACGCCCAGCGCTGTAGCGCTGGCTACGAAACATGATGCCATTATTGCACACAAATGATGAGTAAGTAAAGGCATTTGTTAATTTTGCGATCTATGTACACGTGTCATCATTCACTTCGTAACTTTTGCACGTGTATCATATACATCCACGGACCATAGGAGTCCAGGACAGTCGACATGACGAGGGACCAAAGGGGACCAATCATTCCACTTGATATCTTCGCTAGCCGAGGTTTCTGAGCTGTCACATCAGAGTTCCAGTCCTTCATTAAACATGTTGGTTCTTCTGATCATCGACTCGAATCACACAATATGGTTGGCATCCTACGTAAGCTTTGGACTCGTATCGTCAGCCCCACAGTCCAAATTCTCAAGAAGTTGATTGGCCCTGACTCACGCATCTGGTGTCCCTTCCTCTACATGCAGTAGGACCTTACGCGAAGAAGAGCCGTAATTTGTCTCATTTTTACGTCTCCTACCCCTCAATGTTTTCAACTTTGGCGGCATTCATTAGCACGAGACAGCGTGTATCTCAACATGCGTCCGCGCAGTGCTTCGTTGCCGCTTGTCAAGCAAATCCGGCCGGAGCAAAGGAACTTCGATGTGTGGCCGCTGAATTAGACATGTCTCTGAGCGGATGGTACCCCGTTCTGTCCTTTATATCCCTCACTGACGGCGACGCAATAGTCTAGGGGGCATTAGTCGAAATCCGTGGTTTCACCTTGCTTGCCGCAGAATGCTGAATCGGAAACAACCGTTCGAGTCTTCCTTTGCGATGCGCGACAGTCCGTTGGACCGTTCAGTATGAACATCTCGGCAAAATCCAGAGTTTGCTTCGGCCTATCACACTACACCGAGCACCGATGAGGCAATTCATCTTACTGCAGCGATGGGATTTTGCAGTATAATAAGGTTTGACGTGGTCTGTCGATAACGAAGTTGCTCGTCAGGTCCATCAGGAAAAGGGCCGGTAACTATATTGTACTACAAGCGATGAAAAATGAACTGTCAGGCTTATTGAGTGGCAGTTTATTTCAGGAGTGACATGCACAAGGGTGGCAGCAGGCACGAGGTGCAGTGGGAGGGCTCATACAAGACGGCACGAGAGCCTACGAGAGCAGGCCTTGATGATTCAATTAGTGAAAGAGAACACTCAATGCAAGTGAGAGGGCGGCAGAGGCAGGAGAGCGATGGCAGGCACGAGAAGGTAGCAGGAGGATGCAAGGAGCTATCCGCTGAGTGCAATCAGTGCAAAAAAACAGCAGAATAAATAAATAGATGTAGCTCACAAGTTGGTAGGCAGCGCTGCACAATCTGAGAAGCAGGTGGGAGGATAGGGGAAGCGGGAGGTGGGCGGCGCGAGCGCATTACATAATATTGCAACTCCGCTCGAACCCATCCGCCGAAGCCCTACATGGAATAGCCCAGAGTGGTCCGATCCCTGACTTTCACGTCAAGTCTGTACAGACCTAACACAGACTGCCCAATTCCCGGACTTTCTGATCAAAACAAAGCCTTCCTCTGGCGAGGGGAGGAGAAGACGCAATCCAAAGTGGATCCTACCGACTCTTGTAGACCATCATGTAGGCTGAGGAAAACACTCGACTACGGTTGGTTAAACGCCTGTGTTAGCGCCCTTGATGCTTCATTGGTCCTAGTACCACAAATCATTTCCTTATTCGAGTTCTTGGAGTTCACAATACACGTGTGGTAGGCGCCTGCTGAGCCTGCTCAGTGTTGCAGAATGCACCTACTCATCATTTGACAAGTTTGAGTTCACAACCATTATCGACCCAATTTGAACTCTACGCACAGCTCGCCGCATTATTTCCCTGAAGACTGGCCGTATTTCAGCGTTCGAATTTTTGCTTGCAAGTGAGGATTCACGCGATCCAGATCCCATTCGATTTTGTACTCATCGAGTCATTCGCAAGACACTAGAGAGCGCGGTGTGGGCGTTGTACCGTCACAGCCCATCTTTCGGACCTCATTTCACTGCTCGCGTTGGTACTTCCAGCTGCATCCTTCCGGACATTCCTCGTTTAACTTTTGTATTTCGCCATAGTAACATGGCAGACGATGTCGAGCTGTGGCGAGCGGCCTTACAGCAATGTTTCCATGACCATTCTCATCAATTACCCATCTTTCTCGAGCACCTTGCCATAAGCCTTGTACACAGATTCCAGCAACGGGGTGTCCTATCTGACCTTGATGAGGCCATCAATCTCCATCGAGCCGCACTGGCACGTCGTGCCGCAGGCCATCCTCATCGATCCAATTCTCTCAACGACCTTGCCAATGCCCTTCAACTCAGATTCCAGCAGCGGGGGGTCCTGGATGACTTGGATGAGGCCATTAAGCTCCATCGAGCTACACTGGCGCTTCGTCCACCTGGCCATCTTGATCGAGCCATGTCTCTAAGCAACCTTGCCAGCTGTCTTCATGACAGATGCGTGCGGTTGGATGTCTTGTCTGACCTGGATAAGGCCATTGAGCTCTACCAAGCTGCACTGGAGATCTGTCACCCTGGTCATCATATTCGACCCCAACTTCTGAATAACCTTGCGGACAGTCATCTACACCGATTCCAGCGGGGGTGTGTCCTGTTTGACCTCGACGAAGCCGTAAGGCTCAATCGAGCTGCGCTGGCGCTCTGTCCCCTTGGCCATCCTCATCGATTTGGCTCTCTCAATAGCCTTGCAAACAGCCTTGTCGTCAGATCTCCGGAGCGGCCTGTCCTGTCTGACATAGATGAAGTCGTCAATCTCCATCGAGCTGCACTGGCACTCTGTCCCGTTGGTCATCCTCATCGATTGATGTCCCTCAACAACCTCGGCGTTAGCCTTGGAAACAGATACAAGGATCAGGGTGTTCCGTCGGAGCTTGATGAGGTCATCGAGCTCCATCGAAATGCTATAGTGCTCTGTCCGCCTGACCATCCTTTTCGACCTGTTTTTCTCTACAACCTCGCAAACAGACTTAAAGATAAATTCCAGCAGTGGAATGTCCTGTCTGACCTGGATGAGGCCATTGACTATCATCGAGCTGCGCTGGCCCTCTGCCCTTTAGGCCATCTTGATCGATATGCTTCTCTCAACAACCTTGCCAGCAGCCTTCGAGTCAGATTCCAACACCGGAAGATCCTATTGGACGTAGATGAGGAAATCGAGCTCCGTCGAGGTGCTTTGATGGTCTGCCCCTCTGGCCATTTTCATCGATCCATGTCTCTTGAACACCTTGCCCTCGGCCTTCAATATAGATTCCAGTGGCAAGGTCAATCATCAGACTTGGATGAGGCCTTCAGCCTTTATTCACAACTCTCCCGACAATCTCTTCCGGTCTCTCGTTTCGATATCTGTGCTGCCAAGTCATGGATCACCTCCGCTGAGCAGGCGAAACATGGCTCTGCACTCGTTGCCTACCAGACCACGTTAAAATTCCTGGATCAGTATGTCACTGTTTTAGCGCCCTCTTCCAACCATTTCGATGTGGTCAAGGAGGTCACTTCATCCATTGCAATGGATGCTTTCTCGTGCTGTGTTCGCCATGGTGCTTTGACGAATGCTGTGGAACTAGTAGAGCAAGGCCGTGCAGTGTTGTGGACCCAGTTAGCGCGCTTACGCACGCCGCTGGATGATCTTTCCACATCAAGTGCCACCGGTGGTGCCTTAGTGGAAGAGTTCAAGAATCTCAGCTCGAGCCTTCGTGACGTATTTGATGCGTCTACTGAAGACCAGTTCCTACAAATCCGGCAACTGACCACGCAATGGAATGATGTTGTTTCCCGCATCCGTCAGCTGCCTGGTTTTTCCCGATTTCTCCTGCCTCCGCTGTTCTCTGACCTCCAGAAAGCGGCAGAACATGGTCCAGTAATTATTGTCAATGGAAGCAAATATAGCTGTGATGCCTTGATCATCACGCGGGACCAAGATCCTATCCTCATTCCACTTGATATCTCGCTAGCAGAGGTTTCCGAGTTGTCGTCAGAATTCCAATCCCTTACAAAGCGTGTTGGTTCTTCTGATCATCAACTCGAATCACACAAGATGGCCGGCGTCCTACGCAAACTTTGGGCTTGTATCGTTAGCCCCGTAGTTCAGGTTCTCAAGGAGTTGATTGAACCTGGCTCACGCATCTGGTGGTGTCCCACCGCTGAATTTACCCTGCTTCCCCTACATGCAGCGGGACCTTATGAAAAGAGGAGCCATAATTTGTCTCACTTTTACGTCTCCTCGTACACCTCAACTTTGTCCGCACTCATCCGTGCAAGACATCATGTTTCTCAAGATGCGTCCATTCAGCATTTCGTTGCCGTTGGCCAAGGACATCCGGACGGAGGAAAGGAACTTCGACATGTGGCCGCTGAGTTAGACATTGTCGTTGAGCGGGTGGCACCCGTCCTGTCTTTTACATCCCTCACCGACAGCGACGCAACAGTCCAGGGGGCATCCAATGCATTTAGTCGGGCACAGTGGCTTCACCTTGCCTGCCACGGAATGCCGAATCGGAAACAACCATTTGAATCTTCTTTCGCGATGCGTGACGGTCCTTTCACTATCATGGACATCATCCGATCTCGCATGCAGAATCCAGAGTTTGCTTTCTTATCAGCTTGTCACACTACTGTGGGAGATGAATTGAGTCCTGATGAGGCGATCCATCTTGCTGCAGCGATGCAATTCTCTGGATTTCGCAGTGTGATAGGTTCGATGTGGTCTGTTGATGACGAAGTTGCTCGTCAGGTCGTAACAGCGTTTTACGACAACCTGGTTGATGGTTCGGGGAGATTGGACTGCAGGCGCGCTGCTGTAGCGTTGCATAATGCTGTGAAGACGTTGCGGAAGAAGATTCCACTGGAACAGCAGATTGTATTTGTTCACATAGGTGTCTAGTTTGAAGACTCGTGGTATACCTTTATTTCCACCACATGATCTTATGACCTTGGAGCGGCGTCCATCGCAAGCTCAGATTATATTCCCGTACCCTGATCACCAGACATAAAGTTTGACGCTTGGGATCATTGCCCAGCTATTTTCGATTTACGTGTAGGAATGGTCCGGGGAGCTGTATAATCCGCTATCGGAACTTGATCGACACGTATTCGTACATTTATGAGTCACGCTATGACCACTGTCCCGTCTGCAAGTCAGTGGGGATCCCCTACTGCAACCAAGAGAGCACTCCTTGTACATGGTTTAAATTCGTCTTCGTATACGTTCCACCGTGTTGCATCGATACTTGCAGCCAAAGGTGGGTCTTGTTTGCTAGAGTTATGTTACAGTGCTTATCTGTATGATCATATCATAGGATACTTGGTCGTTGCTCCTAACCTTCTTGGACATGTTCTCAGGACGCCCGGAGTTGACTTTAAAGTCCAGACATTGGCAGACGACCTCTTACCCTACCTTCAGGCTGCTGAATATGATATAGTCATTGGCCACTCAATGGGTGGGGCAGTGGTATTATCACTTCTCAAGTACCTGCCGAAAACCAGGCCTACTTCAGTGGTTACCGTCGATTCATCTGTGGAGTTGACTGCAGAGCAGATGGTGGTTCGAAGAACCAAGGCTTCTAACGAAGCCCGAGTCAATCTTACGGTAGAAGATTATATGGCGTTGAATCCTCTATGGACGAGAGAGGATGCTATTTGGAGATCGCTGGAGACCCAGATCGTCAGAGCAACCAACCACGATGATCACATGAGTGTCAGTTTTTGCGAGTAGCATCCCGGAACCAGCGGTACTGATAGTTTGGATTGCTACAGGGCAACACGCCATGGTCGTTCTCACATTTGTTCGCCGACAGGCCTGCCGCTGCCTCATTGACGGTTTTGATCGCAGATCCACGATCTAATGCATATGGTGCTTCGAAGCTGGAGGTTGTTGCAAAATTCAAAGATGTTAGAACAGTGATCGTTCCAAATACCTCGCACTGGATACAGTATGAATTCCCGGAAGTGATTGTTGAAGAGGCGCTAAGGAATATCGAAGAGTAAGACGATAGGCAGTAAACTTGAAGACCTCGAATTTCAAGTTCCCGATATCATGTCATCAATTACCTTGATGTAGAAAGATACAAACATCAGCTTTAATCGAAGATTGCATCTTCATCCTATCCTAATGTTTCTGCATGCATGTAACAACTCCGAGCTGTCGGGCTATCATACCCATGGTACCGTGTTCCATGATCGCTCGCCATATTCTGAAAGGATCTTGTTCAAGTTGGTATAGCCTTCGTCATTGGCCAAGGGATTCTCCGTAGCAATATTCACCTCGTTCTCCAAAAACTTTCCCAGTTCGAGTCCCGTGAGCCCATCTTAAGTTGCCAGGCCTTGCCTCCGTCCCCCAAGCCGTCCCCCATGTACCTTTATAAAATCGTTCGAAATCGCCCACTTGCACGAGCACGATATGGCTAACAGAGCTCCTGCGACTTCGAAGCCGTACCTGCAACCGGACGCGGATGAGGCATAAGTATTATGTTCATATGATTTGCTGCCAGCTATGATGCGTAATACCAGTTAACGTATGTATTCAAAGCAATGATACGAATTTGAACTTCGTTGAATCTTTCTGATTGGTCGCCTTGTGCTCTTCGGAGGCAACAGCCTGACAAACATGAATAAAGGTTGAGATTATATATATATGTATCATCAAGTCCCGAAGTCTGTAATATCAGCTTGCAATTATGTTGCCACGAGCTGCACCGCTAGATGCTAGATACGAAGTGGTGAGATGGTCAAGAACATTTTGATCAACAAGGTAGGAGGACGCACGAAATTGATCATATGCCAATATGTACGAACACTATGCGCTGGTCCAAGGGCATGTCTTTGTCATCAGCCAACAACTGGACTGCTCGGTGGAGTGCTCGGGCAGCTCGTTTTGAATTCATTGTGCCATCCCCGCAAAAGTTTTTGTAGAATGCCTCCACTAAGCGCTGCACAGCACTATCATTGACCTCCCATAATGTCCCAACAACACTGTTCACCCCAGCAAATTGGAGAGCAGCCACCAGGTGTATCACTTCGTCAGGAGTGTGAAAGTCGCCGACTGCGGTCTCACAGGCGGAAAGGAATGCAAATGCATGTGAAGATAGATCCATTTGTGTAATATCGAGGAGTGAAAGCGGTTCGTCGCACATGAGAAAGGCTGACTTGAATGGTTCTGTATGATTCTGTGTCCTGTGACATGCAAAATGGAGCCAAGGATTATCTTGCAATGCGGACAACGCTCTTGATTTTGTAGCATCAATGCTTGTGATCTTCGTGAAGGAAACCATCGGGGGACGGGGTAAAAGGCTCTGCACCAATGTCAGCTCAGGCTCCACACAGTCCAAAATAGATGAAGCTCCTTTTGGGTGATTCTGACCAATGGCGGCAAACGACACGGGGAGAGATTGATCACGGCGTCTGCGAGCCTTGATGAGCGTGGTAAGCGATGGAGTGTAGGAAGAAATGTATAGTTGCGCAAGGGACTTTCCACCCCGCCTATACTCGCCAGCAGCGTGCAAAGGCATGAAGTTGAAGAGAGAGGTTGGGCACCACCATATTCGCGACCCTGGTTTTGCAAATTTGCCAGATTTTCAACCACAGGGTGCACGATCTCGACCCATAACTCTCTCAAAGCTTCTATCAGCTTTCCTTGTTTTTCCCGTGACAGAGGGTTGTTCACCGTCCGTTGGAAAGCGAACACCAATCGCTCGAGTTTTTCTACGTTGATAGCGAGTCCTACATTAACCGGAGGTTCCTTATGTGGGACGATGATTGCATGGCAATACGACTTGCTTGCAACAAGAACGATGATAGGCCCGTAGTCCTGATTGATGGGACAACAGATAGGCGATAGCAAGCGACTGATGAGCCACTGATTGATGAGGATCATGTTGCGTCAACAGAGACAATGCACAACGGAGATTTCTAGGGCATCATTGAGGTCTTCTCCATTGTGTTGGTGTTCGAAGCGGACCAACAGTACATTCCCAAGATTATTTGATGATGTGAACTGATCTGGGTGACCGACTGAGCGCAAACTCAGCGCTTCCCTGTGAAGTGCGATAGCCTCATCCAAGTCTTGCTCGTCACCTTGGTGTTCCGAGCGGACGGAGAGTGTATTCGCAAGGTTATTTAATGATGGGTACCTATTTGGATGACTGACCGAGCACAAGCTCAGTGCTTCCCTGTGAAGTGCGATAGCCTCCTCTAAGTCTTGACCGTTGTCCCGGTGCTTAAAACGGGTGAATAATTCATTCCCAAGGTTATTTAATGACGAGAATCGATGTGGGTGATTGACTGGGCACAAGGCTAGCGCTTCTCTGGAAAGCGCGATGGCCTTATCCAAGTCTTGATCATTGCCTCGGTGGTCAAAGCGGGTGGAGAGTTGACCCCCAAGGTGATCTAAAGACATGAACCGATCTGGGTGACCGACCAGATGAAAACTCAGCGCTTCCCTGTGTAGCGCGATAGCTTCATCCAAGTCTTGGACATTGCCTCGGTACTGGAAGCGGGAGGAGAGTATGGCTGCAAGATTATTTAATGACATGGACATATGTGGATTACCGGCTTGGTGCAACGACAATGGTTCCCTGCAAAGCGTGATAGCCTCATCCAAGTCTTGATCATTGCCTTGGTGGTTGAAGCGGGTGGCGACTCCACCCCCAAGGTTAAATAATGACAAGGAACGCTCCGGGCAACCCACTGCCATTGCAGCCAGTGTTTCCCTGAAAAACGCGATCGCCTTATCCAAGTCTTGGCCATTACCCCCGTTGCTTGAAGCGGTTTGCGAGTACAAGACCAAGGTTTGTCAATGGCACGTGCCAATCTGGGTGACCAACTGGGCTGTAAAGCCAGCGCTTCTGTATGAATTGTGAAAGCTTCATCCAAGTCTTGGTCACTACCTCGGTGGTCAAAGCGGGTGGAGAGTCCAGACCCAAGGTGATTCAATGACATGAACCGAAGTGGATGACCAACTGGGTGCGAAGCCAGTGCTTCCCTGCAGAGAGTGATAGCCTCATCTAAGTCTTCGTCATTGCCTCGGAGCTTGAAGCAGATGGAGAGGTGATCGCCAAGGTTACTTAATAACATGGACCGATCTGGGTGACCGACCGACCGTAAACTCAGCGCTTCCCTTTGAAGCCTGATAGCCTCATCCAAGTCTTGGTCATTGCCTCGGCACATGAAGCGGGTGGAGAGGTCGTTGCCAAGGTTGTGTAGTGATATGAACCGATATGGGAGACCGAGGGAGCGCAAACTCAGCGCTTCCCTGTGAAGCATGATAGCCTCATCCAAGTCTTGGTCATTGCCTCGGCGCTTGAAGCGGGTGGAGAGTTGAACCGCAAGGGTATTTAATGATGGGTACTGTGCTTGGTGACCGACCAGGCACAAAATCAGTGCTTCCCTGTAAAGCGTGATGACTTCATCCAAGTCTTGGTCCTTGCTTTGGTGCTTGAAGCGGCTGTAGAGTGGAATCCCCAGATTACATAGTGACTCGAACCGTTCTGGGTCACCGACCGGACAAAAACTCAGCACTTCCCTGAAAAGTGCGATAGCTTCATTCAAGTCTTGGTCATTGCCTCGGTGCTCGAAGTGGGTGAAGAGATTTTTGCCGAGGATATTTAATGATGAAGACCGATCTGGGTGACCGACTGAGTGCAAACTCAGCACTTCCATGTGGAGCATGATAGCTTCATCCAAGTCTTTGTCATTGCCTTGGTGCTTGAAGCGGGTGGAGAGACCACTTCCAAGGTTATTTAATGACACGGGCCGGTCCGGGTGACCTACCAGCTGCAAAGCCAGTGCTTCCCTGTAAAATGCGATGGCCTTTTCGAGGTCTTGGCTATTGCCTTGACGCTGGAAGCGAGTGAGCATTATGCAACCCAGGCTACCCACCAATAGCCTTCGCTGATCATGTGTCGCGCTGGAGTATTCCAGTGCATCATAATGAAGGGATACAACTTCATCTACGGCATGGGGATCATCTGTGCGCAAGCACCACTCTACTTGATTTACAAGTTCATCTGGCGATGGACCTGTCGGGAAAGCAAACAGCTTAGCAATGACGCGATAAAGCATTGTCAGAATGGCTTTGAAAAAAAAAAGTCGGAACATGCTGAAAATGTGTTTGAGGTCAAGAAACACTACATAGAGTCTGTAAAGTTCTGATGGATTATAAAGGAGACGAGCACAGCATATCGGGGGCCTTGGGCCACCCGTTGCCAGTGCATCAGCAAAACACTAAATTTAGCACAGCTACCGTGACAGCTTGCCTTACAGCAGTACTTGACACCTGTAGATTTGATATATTACTCCCTACAATTATAGCATCAGCAAATGATCAATCTTGTTAGAGAGAGATTTACGAGCGAGAACAGCACACGATTTTATTCTTGCGCAATAGGAGGTGAGCAATGAGTGCAGATTACATTCGGCATATTCCGTATCGTACTCATTCTATTTTAAAGTCAGATAGTCTGAATCTCCGCTACTCTTTGGTGCACGGATCATGTCACAGGTATGTGTACTGATTTTTCAGTCTTACCTGCTATAACAACACTCCCCCTCAATCAGGAGACATGCCTAGACCTTTTATAAGTCTTTCGTGGTCCGGTTTAGGTAGCAGTTTCATTAGTATGTCAGCTATCATCTCTTTTGTAGGGCAATATACTTCGTGAATTTTCCGCTCACGAATCTTTTGCCTTACATAGTGGCTCTTAACATCAAAATGTTTCAACCTTGCGTGGTATTGTGGATCTTGCGCTATCGCTAATGCTGCCATATTGTCACCGTATAAGGTAGTTGGAGCATTTTGAATAAAACTTAATTCCTGAAATAGATTTCGAAGCCAGATAGCTTCACGTGCTGCGTGTGCCATTGCTGTATACTCTGCTTCGGTTGAAGACAGTGAAACAGCATTCTGTTTCTTCGAACTCCAGGTAATTGCTCCATCTCCTAACTTAAAGACATATCCAGAGACTGATATTCTGTCTCTCGGATCATTGGCGTAGTCAGCATCAGACCATCCTTCAATTCGGACTTCCTTGCTATCAGTAGAGCCTTGATATTGGATCCCAATGCTTCGTGTACCAGATAGGTATCTTAATACTCTTTTTGCTGCTGTCCAATGTGCTAATCCCAGATTCGTAGTGAACGAGCTTAACCTTTGGATAGCATATGTGATATCTGGTCGCGTTGCTACTGCCAGATACATTAGAGATCCAATTAAGGATACATATCCATTGTTACAGTTGCCCTCTTGGTCAGTCTCTTCTTTTTCTAGCACGATTTTGGGATCTAATGGCATTCCTACGGTGTTAGACTTCTGGAGACTGTATTTTTGTAGGATTGACTCAATATATTTAGTCTGTGAGATTCGGATCGATTTATTCGGTCGATCTCTGTTTATCTCAATTCCTACTATTTTTCTCGGTTCTCCAAGGTCAGTGACATCTAGTATGCTCTTTAATTGAGTTTTGAGCTGATTCATTAAGTCTTTATTGCTCGCAAACAGCAGTAAATAATCGACCCAAACGGTGATGATTTCCGTTCCTTTTTCTGAGCGCCTAATATATACACATGGATCCGATATAGTACGTCTGAATCCTATGTTATTTAGGCGTTTATTCAACTCAATGTTCCACTCTCTTCCTGATTGCTTTAGTCCGTATAGGGTCTTCTTAAGTCGACATACTCGACCAGTACCATCATTGTACCCTTCCGGTTGTTCCATGTATACTTCCTCTTTCAGGATACCATTAAGGTATGCTCCCTTTACATCCATTTGCTCTATCTCCCAATCGAGGATAGCAGCTGATGACATAACAGATTGTATCGTCTCTAGACAAATGACTGGGGAGAAAGTATCGGTGTAATCCATACCAGGAATTTGTGAGTACCCTTTCGCTACCAGTCTCGCTTTATATATGACGACTTCGCCCTCTTTGTTGGTCTTTTTCACTAGGACCCACTTATTCCCTACGATCTTTCGATCTTCGGGAGGATCCACAAGTTCCCATTGTAAGGCTGACTATGAGTTCAAAGGGAAAAGTGAACAAAACGAGGCAGAAGACGTGTTAGTAGCTAACACGAAGAGAGAATAGGACTATGACTGGAGACACAGAGTTTCTGAGAGGCTTTCGGTCGTTCTTGGAGCAGGGGTCTGAGTATATGATTTGCTGCTAGATATGAGTGTACATGAGCTGTATATAAGTGCAAAATGGCAAGGGTCCTCAGGTATATCTTGACCAAACGATTATGAGAAAATGGAGGCAGAAGGGAGTGGCGCTGAGCCTGGCAGGGTAGTGTAGAAGGCACGAATGAAGAGTACGAAAGGATTATGAATGAGTGGTGGTCTGAATGTTATAAATGACTGAAAGTTGCGTAGTAGTGACGGTTTTGGAGATGGCGAATTGAAAACAAATGAGAATAACGAGAGAAGGAGAGTTGAAGGTTGTTGTCAATGAAGGGTATGTTGTAATGATGAGACTAAGGCCATGCTGGATGTCGACGACAGTGAGATAATGAGCATAAGGAGAAAGGAATGTATCCGTGTGACTTGGATACAGAAGGTAACGCCTTCCGTATCCATGAGTCACGTGGACGGGTGTTGCCGCTTGCTGTAAAGTAGAGTCTGTGCGCAAAGGATCATGGATCCTTACACCACCCCCCTACTTGAATATTGACCGTCCGTGGTCGATCTTCCTATGAATAAAACTTTTAAAACAAAAATTCTATGATCTACTGGACTACTGAATTGAACTGGGACCGTTGAAATGAAAGGAAAAAAAGAAGAAAAACACATCTATTCTCGTTCCAACTCGGCATCCGTGAATTTTCATAATCACATATTGTGTTACTGAGCTGTCGTTCAAAGTCTTTGATAGATGTGAAACGACTTTTAATGATTCATTCGTGGATTTCGGCCAACTCTTCGTCTCATTTTGCTAACTGACGTGCTCACATAGCTAAAAGGTCTTCTGACGACAGCTGAGCTGTAATATCGGGAAGGAGGAATGTCGACTCGGTGATATCGAAGGGTGGGAGGGGCTCAACACCATGCGTCATAAAAAATGGTGAGTGTCCTGTCGATTTTCTTGTAGTCATGCGATTGGCCCAGAAGATCTGACCGTTCAACGAGGCCATTAGCCTTGGAGTTGTATGCCGAGATTTGGATGTGCCGGATATTGTACTTGTGTGCGAGCCAATCGAGCGTGGCGACAAATGGTGTTCCATTGTCAGTTACGATCTCTGCAACGGCTCCCCATCTGCACAAAACTTCCTCAAATAAAAACGCTCCTATCGTCCTTCCCGTTTCCTTCCTCAGCATCCTAAACTCTGGCCAGTTTGTTAGGGAGCATCATGCTTGGACAATGTATGAAAATCTGTGGGACACCGGTGTGAAAGAGAAATAGTGACTAGGCTTGTTAGAAACTAGCGCTACTTATCCAAATAGGCGTGAGTGTAGTATTGGACCCAAGAGGACTGCTATTGAAGCAACTCCCTTCAAATATGCAAGGGTAGCGATAGTGCGAAGGACTAATAACCTATAGCGACCTAAGACCAAAAACCAATGAGTAGCGCTGTAGCGATCAGCGACTAGCGACAAGTGAGTTCTGACAGAGAAATGTGTGTAAGTGAGAAGCGCTATGCAAGTTGTCCTATGCAATAGCGCTATGCGACATCCTGACTAGCTGACAGCAAGAAGAAATCAAAGGAAGCGAAAGCGAGGAGTTAAGGTAAGACAGTGCAAGTGAAATGCCTGATAGCGACTAGATTATAGCTTGACTACCAATAGCAATCCCGACATTGCGAAAGTCAAACTTTTAGAGGGAACTTTAGCGATGTGCACTTAAAACAAGTCAAGCGACACGCGATCAGAGAGATTGGCAAGAGCGGAATTGATTGCACCAAGACTAGGATATAGCGACTAAAGTGACTCTGACACCAGCAAAGGTCCGGGGAAGGGAAGTACTGTACTGTATGTGCGATGGGTCATTTTATCATACTGCATAAAAGTTCGGGAATGCGTAGGCAAGAATAGTAGTGACACTGGCGAGGGCACGATCTAGCTGACAGGTAATAAGACATGCAGCAGCAGCGGAACACGAGGATACATGTAATAAGACCTGCGACTGATGAGTAGCAACATTTAAGGAAAAATAACGCACCAGCAGAGGTAGGTGGACATAGACAGGACATGGGAGGATGGAATACCTAGGCATCAGGACTGGGTAGTGCGCTATGGGAGAAAAGTGGTTCCAAAGCGGATAGCTTGGGAGCTGAATAGCGCTGGTGACTAGCACTTTACTCCTTTCCTCTAGGTAAGGCAAAATGTGCCTATGACACTCATACGCAGCCTAGCGCTGGTATGATTGTCACACCGGCATATACATGGAGTCTGTGAAGACTTTTTGGAAGAGTGTCGCAGGAATTGACACAGTGGGTGGAATCATGATTTTTTCGACTGAACATGTTTGACATTGATGGCACGTTCTCAGGTACCATCAAAGGTCTGAATCCAATGTCACCCACCAGAATCGATCTGCTATGGTGTGTTGTGTTGAATAAAATCCTTTGTGTCCCAGCTGATCATGAGCTTCTTGTAGTATACGCACTCGATCTGATCCAAACACAACTAATTGATGGTGTCCCATAATCTCTTTTCGCCATAGTTGCTTCCCTCGTACAAAGAACTGGTGTGTATGTTTGATAAGACGAGTTCGATCTTTTGAGGAGGTAGTTGGAGGGAGGGTGAGTGAGTCGAGATAGGATTGGATGATGTGAAGGTCATTGTGGAGGCAAAGGGACTCTGTACTAGGGGGGATTTCGACGTCTGGTGAGTGTGGCGTAGCGGTGAGAGTTAGAGTGCTCATTGTCTGTTCAGCAGGCCAATCCCTATCAACTTCTTTTGCCATCCAAACACCACATCCTAGGATCTCTTCAATCCATTCCTCGACGTCTTCTGCTGATTCGATTGGATCATCTGCGTCTCCGGGTGCTGCAGGCCGTCGAGAGAGACCGTCTGGGGCAGCGTGTCTTTTCCCAGGGATATGTCTAAGGGTAAAGTCGAAAAGGGAGATCCCTGCTATCCAGCGGTTGACAGCCGCATTAGG